AGCATCAAACTCATTATAGACTAGGTACTCTTCATTTTTATTTGTTGTTTAATTCTGTTCCTTCCGTCAAAGGAAGAAATGTATGTGAAAGGCTTTTATAAACCAGAAAGCACTATACACACATATCACTTATTGAGGTTAACAAAGGACCACTGTGCCTCTTTTCATGCTTTCTGCTCTTCCGAGCCAAGAGAACTTCTCCATAGAGGAGGGAAATATTGAAGAAAAATAAAGCCATGGAGTTGTCTCTTAGCAACTGAGTTCGTGCCTTATAAATCTCATCTACTTTAGATTACTGCTGCACAAAATCACTTGCTTTTCTTAGTGGCTCTGTATAAATAATGTTATTAAATTATAGGAAAACAATGGAAAAAATCTAATGAATGACTCATTCATTTAATCAGTTGTACTCTGTCTTTGCTTAGCACTATTGATATAGTTGGGTTATTTCTTCCTCTTGAGTCTAATTGTAAAGTTTTGTTATATATCTTTTATCAGAACTTTAGTTGTAAGTAAACAAAGTAGAAGCTAAATTCTACCTTATACATTTCTAGGTTGCTTAAGTCGTGAAGCAATATGAGTCATATATGTAGCACATAACATATGCTGTGTAGAGGTCAAGTTGTACATAGTTTAAAGAAAATCAGGTGTGCAGAAACTCAGACCAAATTGGGAAGTATTTGCATTATAAAAGAACTCATTATAAGGATTTTTCAGATAGTAGATCTCCATAGTATATTTCGTTCATTTCATTCAGCAAATGTATATTTTTCCTTTTTATTTATTTATTTATTTATTTATTTATTTATTTATTTATTTATTGAGACAAAGTCTCGCTCTGTTGCCCAAGCTAGAGTGCAGTGGCAGGATCTCGGCTCACTGCAACCTCTGCCTCCCGGGTTCAAGCAATTCTCCTGCCTCAGCCTCCTGAGTACCTGGGACTACAGGTGCGCACTACCATGCCTGGCTAATTTTTATATTTTTAGTAGAGATGGGGTTTTACTATTTAATTTATTATTTATAAATTAGTAATTTGTAAATATAAATTTACTATTTAATATTGATCAGACTGGTCTCGAACTCCTGACCTCGTGATCCTCCTGCCTTGGCCTCCCAAAGTGCTGGGATTACAGGCGTGAGCCACCACGCCCAGCCTATTTATTTCTTTATTTCTTTATTTTTTATACAGATGGGCTCTCACTGTGTTGGCCAGGGTGGTCTTGAACTCCTGGCCTCGAGCAATCCTTCCACCTCAGCCTCCCAAAGTGCTGGAATTACAGATGTGAGCTACCACGCCTGGCCTTTTTTTTTTTTTTTTTTTTTTTTTTGAGATAGAGTCTCACTCTGTCACCCACACTGTAGTGCAGTGGCACATTCTTGCTCACTGCAACCTCCCCTTTCAGGGCTCAGGTGACACTCCTACCTCAACCTCTCAAGTAGCTGGGACTTACAGGATGCGCCACCATGCCTGGCTAATTTGTGTGTGTGTGTGTGTGTTTTGTAGAGACAAGGTCTCGCTATATTGCCCAGGCTGGTCTGGAACTCCTGGGCTCAAGCAATCCTGCCTCCTCAGCCTCCCAACATGCTGGGATTACAGGCATGAGCCAGTGCACCTGACCATCATTCAGCAAATATTTTCGAGTGTCTCCTATGCTAGACAATGGAAGGGATAAAGATTGTACATGCATGCATGTTGTGTGTGTGTGTGTGTGTGTGTGTGTGTGTGTGTGTACGTGCCCATAAATAGTCTTTGGCTTTCTGTCTAGTAAGGTAGGTAAGACAATACAGTGATAAATGCCTTGTGGGTTGTAAGCCGAGTGCTGTAGAAGCTCAGAGGAGGGAAAGGTCAATTCCTGCTGGGTGGGCTATTATGAGTATGTGGCAAGGTGATACGTTAGAGAATGGAAGATCAGGAGTTTGTCAAGTTAAGTAATTAAGGCAATATTAAGAAGTAGTGAGTTGGTGTCCAGTGCTAGAGCAAGGAGTTTCAGCTTTAGTTAGGATGCAATGGGGAGCCACTGACTTTTTTTTTTTCTTTTTGATCAAAAAGTCTTATCTGGGAAAATGTATCTGGCAGTAGTGTGTAATTTCAATTAAAAAAAAATTGGTTCTTGGATAGTCTTTTAGGCTCCTTTTGTATGAAACAAAGCCATGTTTATAAATAAGTGAATTATGAAATGGATTCATTTCCAATCTTTTTAAAAGGTAGTCAGAAACTATTTTCAGATGCAATTAGATACAGTAAGATAGGCTATGTAGTTAAGATATAAGCAGTTTACAAAGTGGGATAAAAATGCTACTTTTCATAATTTCTCAAACCATTTTTAGGGGTATTTTTGTGTCAGCCATCCTGCTATCTCATTTGCCCAATTAAAACAAGGAAGAAATCCTCCATTCTCCTTTTTTCCCCATTCTTGGATAGAATGAATGTCTGTAGTGAAAAGAACTCATCAGTAGTCCTCTCAGATTTGTTCTGAATTTCACCAAATATTTGTATAATTCTGCAAAAAACGTTTGTTTCTCAGCCTTCTCCTTTAGGGAGAAAACAAATAGTGGGCGTGATGGCCTACCTCCCTGCATTGTGGTGAGGGTCAGCTGATACAAGATAAAGTGTTAAGTGTAATTACCCTGAAATGCTTGTAATTAATGGAGAAATGAAGTGTAGACACTTTGTTAGTAGAAACCACGGTGGTTTGGAAATGCAGTGTTTCAATAATAAAGACTGGATAAATAAGGTTGTGGTTTGGAAATGCAGTATTTCAATAATAAAGACTGGATAAATAAGGTTGTGGTTTGGAAATGCAGTGTTTCAATAATAAAGACTGGATAAAAAAGGTTGTGGTTTGGAAATGCAGTGTTTCAATAATAAAGACTGGATAAATAATGTTGTGGTTTGGAAATGCAGTGTTTCAATAATAAAGACTGGATAAATAAGGTCGTGGTTTGGAAATGCAGTGTTTCAAAATAAAGACTGGATAAATAAGGTTGTGGTTTGGAAATGCAGTGTTTCAAAATAAAGACTGGATAAATAAGGTTGTGGTTTGGAAATGCAGTGTTTCAATAATAAAGACTGGATAAATAAGGTTGTGGTTTGGAAATGCAGTGTTTCAATAATAAAGACTGGATAAATAAGGTTGGCTACTAGTGTTTTCCATTCCTCAGGGAATTTACAACACAAGATGATCCCCACCTCTCACTATTAAGGAAGTAGCATTTCCTACAAATTTACCTCATGATTAATTGTGTTTTTTTATAACACGACAAGAAAAGACGTGTTTTTCAGGAGGTTGGAAATGCGAATCCTGGCTTAGTTACTAACTTGCCGTGCCATCAGACAAATCAGGTGATCCTTTTTGTCCCTCATTTTCTGACTAGATTGCCTAAAGCTTCCCTAGCTGAAAGAAACTACCTGCCACGTCAATAACACGCAACTGTGGGTGACTCAAAGACATATAACCTAAAGCTACTGGGTAAAATATTTTAAGAACGAGACTTGGGAAGCTGAACAGGATATTGATTTGCCGTCTTCTTCCCCCATTGTATTGACCGAGCAAGTCCACGCCTGAGTTCAGAGTTGCAGTGGGCAGGAGAGATGTATGTGTCCAGGAAGAAATCGTGGCTTCTGCTCTGAAGATCTGGTCACTTCTCAGGTCAATTGCCGTCTGAAGAACCTAGGAAAGACTGTATTTGGTTCTAATCTTGGTGATTTGGGCCTCTTCTGAGAGGTATTCAGTGTTTCTCTTGAGAAGGCTTAGGCCTTCCTAGCAGCTCTGACTGCCTTCATTTCTCTTGGAACTTCCAGGTCCAGGCCTACTCTGAATCCTCCTTTTTGGTCCTGGATACAGAGAGTGTGTGTCTTAAGACCAAAAAAAAAGAAAAAGAAAAAAGAAAACAATGGTGGATTTTTATTCCATGGTGAATTCATGGTAAAGATTTAATAATAGCCAATGAAATAAGTTGTTTTTTTGAAAATGTATTTTGGGTTTCAGAGCAAGGATTTTCTTTTTCTACCTCTCACCCGAATGTGAAGAAAAGTTCAAAATAGTCCTTGAAAATGTCAGTTCACGCTACTATTAATTGAAAGCATTTCTTTTATCTGATACTGGGGCTGCATCTGACTAGATCCTCGCCAGGCTTAAAAAGCTAGGCGCGCAGTTTTAGAAATGAGAAATTATTTTGAATGTTTTCCTTTTGCCATACCAGAAAGAGCTTGCTGCGTTGAATTGAATCAAATCGAAGCACACCCAGTAAAAAATAATAGCCCCTGGCGTGACAGCTAGAATTTAGTTGGAAACCAGAAGGTTCCTGGCTGAGTTTTTTAAGTCTGAAAACCTCCAAACCACCTTGGCCAGTACCTAGTATTGTAGAAACATACTGTAAAACGTGAGGGCTGGGGGCTCTCTGCAGTGGCGAGAATCTGCTGTTGTTTCTCAGCACATTAAATCTATGGTGAATACTAGTGTGTAGACTGTGTAGTCTAGTTCAGACTGCAACGTGAGCATGAATAGTAGAAGAGCAAGTTCAGGAAAGAGAAGGAAACTGTGAAGACAAAGCCGAGAGGAGAGGGTTGCTTGGGTAACCACAAAGGCACATTTTAGACATTCAAAGAACACTGCCTCCTTTTTGCTCCTCTTCTATATATCTTCCCCACAAAAAGATCATCAGCGGGGGCAGGGGAGATAAAAGGAGGAGAAAAGCCTAGACTTGAAAAACAAATTGATAGAAAATGCTCATCTGTATCTCCTGGATCTTTTCAATGTTTTGGGGGTATGCATCCCAGCTTAAACACATTCTACCAAAACATTTCGCTCGGCTCTGCAACTTTTAATAATGCTGTATTATCCAAAAGATTTTACTGTGTGTGGCCTGTATGCTGCTGTCCAGAATCCCTAAGAACAGGACAGGAAAGCTTAGGGGATACTTTTCTTCCATTCTGTTTCCACAGTGGTGCTCATTTGCTTCCATTTAAAGTATATCTAAAACCCTTATTTTCTTTTTAGGTAACAGTATGACTAAATATACTGAGAAGCTCGAAGAGATTAAGAAAAGTAAGTAACACTCTTGATGGTTTGGGAAAATGGAAGTCTACAGTTGTTCTATAAGTTGGTTCTTAACTAACAATTGTGTTCTACAGCTGACAGGCACAGAGAGCTATGGATGATCTGATAAGCCTAGCAGGTGCCTCAAGGGCTATGGGAGATCCTGGGTGCTGTATTGGGCTGCTCCTCAGATTGTGGCTTGTAGGCCTAAATTCTGCCCTACTTCTATCCCATAGGAGACATTGGTGTTGGCCTGTGGAGTCAGATCTAGTGGAATGAGCTCTGGTTAAGCTTCTAGTGTCATTGTACTGCAATCTTCATGCCCTTCTTCAAGATATTTCATCTTTTCTGTCTTATTTTGTCTCTATTTGAGATAGGGGTAATAATATCTTCCTTCAGAACATTCTTGTGTGTATAAATGAGAGTATTCATGGAAGACAGGGACATGAGAACTTAGTGTTATGTATTATCAATTCATTGCAGTCTGTTTTCTTTTAATTAAAAATCATATTTCATCTACGTCCTTTTAAAAAGCTAGTCTGCAAAGATATGTTACCAGTCATTGAGTGCATTGCCCTTGCGCAAAATCATAATTTTTCAATCTGCATCCAAAACTGATGTAAAGTGTACACTTCAAGGCCAGAATTAAGGAAGAAGTAGAAACATCTATTTTCTAAGATGGATTTGCTCGTATCTTGAATAAGAGAACCCAGTGCTAGGGGAGTAGTTAATGGTGGTAAAGAGGTACTCTGATTGATCATAGTTCAGGACTTGGCTCTGGTAATGTACATCTTCTTGGAAGAGAAAATTGCACATCGAGAATACATCAGAACATTTTCTTTTGTTACACAGCAGACCTTTTTATTTGAAATCAAAGTTCCATTTGAAGTGCTGTAATATTGGGAAACCCTAACCAATAGGTGTGGACTCAGGAGCCGCTTTATGCTGTGTTTTCATTTGCCATGTTCAGCTATAAGGGCTAATGCTACAGACTTCTTAAAAATATGTAATGCCACAGTATCCTTCTCTTTTCTTCCTAAACATTTTATATTACATAAGTATATGTATTTTAAATATTTATATAAAATATATACTTTTAAACTCTGGAGAAAGATCGCATTTACTCACCTATACTTCATTGTTGCCATCCTTAACTTATCCAAGGCAGGCAGAATCCAGCTGTCCTGCTTCTTTTGGGGTTTGTCGTCTCTGTCACCTCTCATCCATTTGCAGCTGAGTGTGAGTTCACATGTCCTCACTAGACATTTGTCCCATAAAAATGTCCCATTCCGCCCAGGTTGCCAGAACCTCACTTAAAACATTTCCTCAAGGTACAATGTGGTTTCTTTTAATATCTAAACCTTGCGTGGAGGTGATCTCCCAGAAGAAATACCCTTGGAAAAGAGCCTTGAAAATGCTCACTTCACTTTCCCTCCGTAGGAGTGGAGGGCTTCCTTTTAGTAGAGCAGGAGATTCCTATTACCCCATTTCACACACTTTGTGCTGATTCCCTGACAGAATTGCTTTAGATTCTGGTTTGGCATCTACATTTTGGAAGATATTTCCTTCTCTTTCCCCATTTTCTGTTGTAAGTATTCTTTGGGGTTGAAAGGGAGGAGAATATTCCCTTGTTTCATGATACCCTAGACCCATCACTTTACTCAGATTACCTTAGATGCCATTTCTTTCTGTGAAACCACAAACCTTGTTCTGTTACTTCCTTTGATTTGTCTTCCACTGTGAGCCCAACTTCCCTTTGCTAATAACACATTTCAACAGAACCCTGAAAATGCAGAAATCCTTTGTAATCTGAATATGCTTTCAACTCTACCTGGGGAAAATAGACACTCTATGTCTATTGACAATTTACAAAGCCCATTCTTGGTTTCTGGTGGTTAGATGACACTAGTTGGACTCAGTGTGAAACATCCTAGATAGTCAGGTCTCTGTCCTTCCAGTAACTCGAGAGAGACAGACTTAGAACCTAGACTTACTGGAGAAGAAAACCTTGATAACGTATCTGAAACAAGGATTGTCTTCAACACAGAGTTTGGGAGAAGACACACAGCAGAAGCTCCATTCTTAAAGCTCTGTTCGCTCTTGCAAGGACAGACTGACAGAGCCTTCCCAATCATCCTTTTTATAAAAATTTAAACTTACTGTAAAACATCTAGTTTGATCTTTTATCTCTGAGTAATCATGTCAGAAAGTCCTACTGACGGCTGTCCTTCTAAACCAGAACCAGGTACGTAGAGTTCAGGTTCAAATATTTAGGGGGCTTCTAGTGCTTGTGCAGAAGACAGTAGAAATGCCAATCTTTAGAATAAAGCAGTCTTTTGTTTGTTTGTTTGTTTGTTTAAATTAATCTCTGTTTAGTTAGTGGGGATTTCAAAATATACATTTTATGCTTAGAAGCATTTTAAACCATGTAACCATACCAGAAGAATATCAGTGGGTAAATGTCACAGTGCAAACTACTTGAAAGCTGTTAGCTGTTTCCATTTGCTGATTTATTGTTGTTTTGATTTGCATAAATGACTTTTGGTGGGCAAGTTGGTGGCAATCAAAAGGAACACTGTAGTTATTCGGTTGTACTTTGTAAAGCCTCAGCTCATCCTATTTGGGTTTGCATCCCGGCAGGTTTTAGAAGTTCCACTGCCTATAGGTTTGCTACCTTGTTGTATCCAGAAGCAACATCTCTAAGCATTTTCTAGAAGTAATGGTCTGTTATTAGCCAAATTACTCTCTTTAAGACATTTTAGAACAGAGAAGTTTAGTTCCCTATTTTAAAAAAGCCTTGATATATTTACAGAAGGCTAGTTTTTAAAGTAGTATCATTTCCTGACTCTGAGTCTTAAGGTGCTTGGTAAACCAAGATTACATTATCCTCCAAAGTAACCACCTGGTCTGTGCTGGTTTTTGGAAAATTCATGGAAGTGATTAGTTACACCAGGTAAATAATCTTAAATACCTTTAATCCTTTCCTTTGTTGCTAGGAGTCTTGGTTTACGAGACATTTATGCTGTGAAGGCCATAGCAATTAACCAGCTAACATTGAATAATTCTGAAATAATGAAGCAGCATTTAAGGAGTCACGGGTACCAATATAAAAACCTAGGTGAGGAGGAAAGGATAAGGGTGGGCAGAGTTCAACACTGAAAACCATTCAGAATTTGACTGTCATCTTCAAAACAGTTTAAGGACGCTAACCTTTAACACACATCTATGGAACAGATAACAGATAAAGTGCGACTGGCTTCGTTTTTAACAATTGTTTAATGTGACGGGAAGAATTATTAACACAAGTACGGAGGTACCTATATTTGAGTTACAGCTCAGAACTGTAAAGACAGCACTGAATAAATGTTGATATTTTAAGGTTTTTTTTGTTTGTTTGTTGTTTGTTTTTGAGACACAGTTTCACTCTCGCCCAGGCTGGAATTCGGTAGTGCAATCTTGGCTCACTGCAATCTCCACCTCCCAGGTTCAATTGATTCTCATGCCTCAGCCTCCGAAGTAGCTGAGATTACAGGTGTGCGCCACCACACCCAACTAATTTTTGTATTATTGGTAGTGATGGGGTTTTGCCATGTTGGCCAGGCTGGTCTCAAACTGCTGAACTCAAGTGATCCGCCCACCTCAGCCTTCGAAATTGTTGGGATTACAGGCGTAAGTCACCAAACTTGGCCTAAGTTGGTTTTATTTTATTTTATCTTTTTAAATGGTGGGGCCAGGTGCTGTGGTTCACGCCTATAATCCCAGCACTCTGGGTGGTTGAGGTGGGTGGATCACTTGAGGCCAGGAGTTCAGAACCAGCCTGACCAACATGGTGAAACCCCATCTCTACTAAAAATACAAAAATTAGCCAGGCATGGTGGCGGGCGCCTGTAATCCCAGCTACTCAGGAGGCTGAGGCAGAAGAATTCCTTGGACCTGAGAGGCGGAGGTTGCAGTGAGCCGAGATCACGGCACTGCACTCCAACCTGGGCGACAGAGAAATAAAAATAAATAAATAAATAAAATAACATAACATAACATAAAATGGTGGTAAACCACAAAAACAAAAACACAGAACACCTAACATCATAATGGTTTTTAAGTGTACAGATCAGTAGCATTAAGTATTTTCACACTGTTGTACAACAGAACTGCAGAACTTTTTCATCTTGCGAAACTGAATAGGTTAATTTTTATCAAATTGAAGTTGGAGAGAAGCTGAGAGATGATCAGAACCAATCACAGCTGTGTGTCCAGCCAAGCACACACGTAGAAATGTCGTCCTGTGGCTCCAGCATAGTGTGTAATGGCAGGAATATTTTTGCTCTCTTTTTAAGCTGGAGTCAGAATAGTGGGGCATGAACGTCTTACCAGCTGTTCAGCTTCTCTGAGTCTCTGTCCTCATTTGTAAAACACAGACATTTCTTCCCTGCTTTGCTCTGAAAAGGATTTGAGGCGGCTTACAAAAGTGCATGGAGTACAATGTGGTCAAAGTGGAGACAACTTAAAGGAAAATGGTAGACTAATAAAATAAAGGCAAGGGGTTATCACTAGACCAAAGATAGTTTGTAAATTAAACTTCAAGCTTCCTAATGACAAAGCAAAGGGAAACAAATTGAACAGATGATACTACTACCTGCCACACCTAATTTTGAGGATATCATGAGGCTCAAATGAGATAACAGATTTAAAAGCATATAAATAATTTGAAAGACCACATAACTTGACAGCTAGAAAGAATAGCTCTAAAAAAGCAAAATAAATCTAAATAAATATTTGTCTTACCATATTTTTCAGATTATAGATACAAAAAAGATGAGCTTTTCAAGAGACTAAAAGTTACAACTTTTGCCCAGCTGGTAAGTTTCATGATCTTCCTACTGGAATAAAGACTGTCTAATTCGTGTCACTTTATGTGAGTATTTCTAAATTCAACTCTAGGGAATGTTTGCCGAGGAGTTTCTTCTGATTCTTTGTATGTCGTTCAGCTATGGGAAAATTAATTGGTATGTGGTATGTGTGTTCACATGAGGATGGTGAGAAATTTTTCTCTCTGATAAGAATTCTGTAAAGTAAATGTTTGCCCTACTTTTAATTCATTAAACTTGTGGTTTAGGGGTTTTCTTCCTTATACATTTAACTTCATAGTTAGAATCTACAATTCCGGATCCTGGATTGTTTCAGCATTTTTCTCTGGAAACTGAGTGATTTCCCCTTTTCTTGGACTGATCTTTTCCAAATCATCCTACCAAAGCTGTTTTGTTATTTTGGGCAAGTCACTTTCTTCTTTTATTTGAAAATTTTGGAGAAGGTGTCTCTCCAGCTCCCAAGCAGGAGTTCCACCGGCATCACTCAAGTTGAATCTTGGGTCTTGTGAGCTAAGTTGTGAAAAGTGCTTTAAAACTGAATACTGTATAGAAGTATAAGACACTGTAATCAGTGTATCTGTTATTACATTTGCATTTACTTCTTCATTGTGTGGAGAATTGCTGATTCCATTCTATGTCATGCTAGGTCAGTATTGCATTTTCAAGTAATAATGTGTAATGCTTGGATCACGATATATACAGATGTGGTTTTAAACTCTTGTTCGTGTTTCTTGTCCTAAACTATCCTCTTAGCATTCTAAGTTTATGTAGTGTTCTGAGTGTGCTTTTCTTCTGAAATGATCATCTGCAGTGTATTACCAACACAAAAGGAAGGAGGCCTGAGATTCAGTCTTCAGTTGAGGACACTGACAGCTTCTTCAAACAAGAGATCTTTGATGTTTGTTGTTTCCTCGTCTTTTGTAAAAGACAAAATTGCCTCTGTTTAAAAACAAACAAACATCCACACATTTCATTCTTTTTTCTATCAGATCATCCAAGTTGCTTCCCTCTCTGATCAAACACTGGAAGTGACAGCTGAGGAGATTCAAAGGCTGGAAGGTAATGAGAATTGAGGGTGTGGGGAAAATAACAGGCTGACCATTTGACTGAAACACTCACCCTGTACACATTTGCTGTCTGTTCCCAGGGACTGGGACTTTGATGTGTCTATTTGTAATTAGATTGTTACTCTCAGGGAAATGCTACCTGATACTTTAGTTGTTCATTCTTATTTTAAAAAGCCATCTGGTTTTCTGGCTCTAACACTTACAGTTTTAAATGTTTTAGATGTGTTTAAAATACTAATTACTTTTTTCAATGAATATTTTTAGCATTCTGTGTACCTACACATTAAGTGCTATGAGACTACAGAGATGAACAAAGCACAGCTCTGCTGACATCAGTCACATGTGTGCACATGCACACATGTATATGTGTTAGGTGGGCTGAATGATAACAGTACCACAGAATTACTAAGGTGGAAGAATTTTAAAATGGAGGAATGGAAGGAAACCATCATTTGTTGGCTGTATATTGCAAGGTGAATTCACATGAATTTTCTTACTTAATCTTCTTACAAAGTCTGGAAGGAAGGTACACTTGACCAATGAGAGGCCCAAGCTGCAGAGGTTAAGCTGCCTCCTCAAAGTGATACAGCTAGTAAGGAAGGGACCTGGGTTACAAATCTAAGTGTCTCCAGTAGCATCCAATGTCTTCTTGCTGCCTTCATTGTACCCTTAAGGGACTGAAAAGTGCTTTTAGGAAAGATGCAGGATGTTGTGGGAGAGTTCCAAGGAAGGAAAGACACTTCTAGTTAGAAGACCGAGGTAGTAAGCCATGCACGGTGCCTCACGCCCAGTGCCTCACACCCATAATCCCAGCACTTTGGGAAGCCAAGCGGGGAAGATCACGAGGTCAGGAGTTCGAGACCAGCCTGACCAACATGGTATCACCCTGTCTCTACCAAAAAAGATACAAAAATTAGCCGGGCGTGGTGGTGCACGCCTGTAATCCCAGCTACTCAGGAGGCTGAGGCAAGAGAATCACTTGAACCCAGGAGGCGGAGGTTGCAGTGAGCTGAGGACTACACCACTGCACTCCAGCCTGGGCGACAGAGCGAGACTCCGTCTTAAAAAAAAAAAAAAAAAAGGGAAGAAGACCAAGGTAGGCTTCCTCAAGGCACTGGAACTGGACCTTGAAGTAGGGTAGAATCTCAACAGGTACAAGTTAAAGATGAAGCTGTTGCCTGCGAAAGGCATGGAGAGGACAGCACACCAGGCATGTTTGGGGAATTGAGTCATCCAATCTGGCTGTGGTCTAAGGGACGAGTAGGCACTGGGTAGGAGATAAGGCTAGAAAGACAGGTAGGCTCCAGATCTCCTTTCTTAAATACCAAGTTGAAAATAAAACTTCCTAGTTGTACTCTCATGAAAAGAATACACAGAGTTAAGGTCTTTATTTTATCCTGAAGTACCCAGCAATCAGCGTGTGGCTGTTTATTGAAGAGGAATGTGTTTTGTTAAGGTTGATGTAGGTCAGGAATTTGACTTCTGATTTCAAGACAAGTTTCTCAGGAAGTCTGAACACTGGGTTTGTGCAACTCAATTGTCATTTCCCCGGGCTGGTTTTTGTTAGGGAGGATAAAGAGAATCTGAAAACGACAGGAATTTATCTTTGACAGATGCCTCTCACAAAGCAGAGAAATAAGAGCTCTTTGTAACAGAGATAATTGAGTCTCCTCATACAAGTACTCCCAATTTTAACTGGGTTATATAAGCACCTAGATTTGGTCCTTCAATTCATTGTTGAGATTGCAGCACCAGAACATATGGGCACATGCAATTTTCTCTTCTGAGATAAATTTGCGCAGCAAAGTAGGCTCTTGTAAAGTAGGACACCATAATGTGTGAGTAATATTAGTGTTTTTCTAGTGCTCTACACAGATAATAACTCACTCAGGAGTGCCTGGGGAACAGATTGTATCTGTATACATACTGGCTATCTTTGAAGGGATTAAAAACAAAAAAAAAAACTCCTTTTATAATGTTTATTGCTTTTTCCTAACTTAAAAGTGTGTTTCTAGTAAGTTAGGAAGCCGTAAAAAGTATATAAAGAAGCAAATTAAATAACTAATAATCACTCTGTATGTTTTGGTCCGCTTTCCCCCTCTCTAAACCCTCACCCCAATTAAATCTATATTCTTTGTATAATTTTGTATTGTGCTGTTTTCAGTTATCCCTTTTTCATTCATACTTTCCCATGTCGCTAAATAGGCTTCAGAAGCATGACTACAAAGATTGTGTTGTCATCTAATATCTGTCCTTTGGATATACCATAATTTAATTATTCTCTTGTTGGGCATTATAGTTTTTTCTGATTTTTCACCTTTATAAAATAATGCTACAATGTATATATGTAAATGTTTGTATGATTCTGATTATTTCCTGAGGATAAATTGCTGCAGAGGGCCAAAGGGTGGAACCATTTTAGACACCCAGTGCTGACTGCCACATTCTCTCCAGCTTGGTTCTACCTATTTGCATTCCCACCAGGAGTGAATGAGAAGACCTGTTTTTCCTCGTCCTAGCCAAAGCTGAATAATTATCATTTCTGTAAATATTCTCCAGTTTAATAGATGAAAAATAGTATCTAATAGATTTTTATTTCTTTGATAGTAAGATTATGCTCTGTGTGTGTGTTTACTGGTCATAAATACATATTTCTTCTTTTAAGGAGTTTATATGCTCTTTTTCCTTTCTTTCTAATAGGATGTTCATCTTTTTCTTACTGATTTGTGAGAGTTCTGAATAATTATGATATCTTTATACAGTGGAGAACAATACTAACTTGACAATGCATGAGGGAAAATCTTGATTAGTTGGAACAATTTCCAGGCTATATTAAGTAAAAATAAAACAACAATAAAACAAAAACCCAAAGTATAAAATAATATGAATAGAATTCTCCTGGATTTGTAAAAGGGGGCAGAAGTAAAATATATGCAAGCACATGTAAATGTTTTATTTCTGGAATGAGACATAAATACGTGAAAGTGTTTAATACACTGATACTTCCCTTGGGGAAGGAGGCAGGAGGGCCTGCATGTCTTCAGTGGGGAAAAGACTTCCTTTCCATGTTAACAATTTAACCTTGTTTGCATTTTTACCTCGTGCACATGATCTTATTGCATTTTTACTCTTTTCACATTATATTACAGAGCTAGTTAATTTTTTAAATCTATAAATTAAGTATATTAACCTTCTTGATTTATGTGTGTTACAGATCTTTCTCCTAATTTGTTATTCACCTTTTAATTTTCTTTGTGTTGGTTTTTGATATATATGAGGTTGCATTTTTACATGATCAAATCTATTAGCCCATACTGTTGTTTTCTTTTATTGCTTTAGACTCATAAAATTCAATGTTAGTAAATTATTTACCTACATTTTCTTCTATTGGCTTGTTTGTTTGCATTTAAAACCATCTGGTATGTATTTTGATATATGACACAAGGTGATTATTTGAATTAGATTTTTCCAGATAGTTGAGAAATATTCCCAGCACCGTATACTCAGTAGTTCTACCTTTACCCACTGATTTATGATATGGATGTATTGACTTTTTGTTTATATTCTTTTCCATGTTCTCTAAGGGAATTATATTCCATTGTTCTGATTGCAGTGCTGTACTATTTTGATCATTTACCTTTTTAACATATGTTACTATTTGATAAGGCAGGTCTCCAAATCGCCCCTAATTATGTATGTATATACATATATTTTCCTATTTCCTCATATATATGAAAAACCAACACATCAAAAACCCATGGGTATATATTGCTTCCAGAATATATATTCAGTCTTGTGAAACTGAATAGGAAAAAAGGATCTGAGTGTGTGTGTGTGTGTGTGTGTGTGTGTGTGTATTTGCTCTTCTTATTTTTTAAATCCTTTTCAATTTTAAAAAAATCCCTTTGGGATTAGTATTAAGGCCAAAAGTTAACTTTGGGAGGGACTCATGTTTTAGTTTTAGTTGCCTGATCAGGAACATGCAGGGTGTGTCACTCTCTTCATTGAGGTCTTCTTTAAGGCCTCTAAGTAACGTTTTTATAAGTCCTATAAAGGATTTATACATTTTTATAGGTTATTTACATTTGGTTTAGGTTCATTTCTTGGAGAGTACGTTTGATAGCTGCAGTTGTTACTGTATATGAGATTTTTTTTCCTGTCATTTTTTACTTGGTGTATAGGACAAATATTTTAGCATTTCTTTCATCTAACCACATATTTATTGCACTTATTCTCGTATTATTCTCTTAAAATTTCTAGGTATATTATCATATAATATGCAAAATTAATATCCCCTTTAATAATTAGACTTGTTGTTTTTATTTTTATTTATTTATTTTTTTGAGATGGAGTCCTGCTCTGTTGCCCAGGCTGCAGTGCAGTGGCACGATCTCAGCTCAATGCAACCTCCGCCTCCCAGGTTCAAGTGATTCTCCAGCCTCAGCCTCCTGAGTAGCTGGGATTACAGTGCCTGCCACCACACCTGGCTAATTTTTGTATTTTCAGTAGAGACAGGGTTTCGCCATGTTGGCCAGGCTGGTCTCAAACTCCTGACCTCAAGTGATCCACCCCCCTCAGCCTCCCAAAGTGCTGGGATTATAGGCATGAGCCACCACGCCTGGCCTGTTATTATTATTATTTTTTAATCTTATTGTATTGGTTAGAACAGCAAATTCTCAAACATTTTGTTCTCTTCCTCCACTCTGTTAAAAATTATTGAAGATCCCAAAGAGCTTTGGCTTATGTGCTTTATGTCTATTAATATTTATTGTATTAAAAATTTAAACTGGGAACTGAAACAGTATTTATTTATTATTTCACTTAAAAATAACAATACTAAACCCATTACAAACATAAATAACATGTTTTTATGAAAAATAGCATTATTTCCAAAACAAAATTTTACTGAGAACGTCATTATTTTATGTATTTTGTAAATCTCTTTAGTGTCTGGTTTAATGAAAGGATCGCGGATTTTCCTCTTTGCTTCTGCGGTGTCTGTTGTGATATGCTGTTTGGGTTAAAGTGTGTGAGGAAAATTCAGCTCACACAAACCTGTAGGTGGAAAAGGGAGAAGTATTTTAATAGCCCTTTCAGATAAAACTTGACAACTGCTCGTTTCTTAAGGATTAGCTGTAATGTAGAATCTGAAATCATATCAATGAATCTTTCATACTGTTAGATTAAAATCAGGCACTTTCAGTGTAATTGTCTTATATCTTGAATCTTTTACCTGTGCAAGATTGTATAACATCATGCATTGGCCATTTAGAAAATATTGGTTCACTGAGTTACGAAGATCTTCCCAAAGGTTAATACATTTTATTATACAACTGTCAAAAAAAATCACATATATTATTCTCACGATCTATCTTACCAAAAAGGTCTGTAAGCATGGGGAAGCAGCTCCCCATACTTCAGTTCCTGATGGCAAACACAGTTTCTAAAACTTCGAGTTTTGCTCAAAATACAATCATTGGCAACAATGCCATCAGTAGTGTTCCTTGAAATAACAGGCTTATTTAGTTCAGTTCTGAGAAAATGTCTGCCAAATACACAAGTCTAACTAACCATAGTTTTTCTGTCAGTTTTTCGTCCAAGCAGAAATGGTGTGCATAGCAAAAGTTACTGGTTCAGCCTGCAACTCAGCAATCACACTAATACTTTTCCTTGAGATAACCCTGGTAATTTGGTATGTAGCAAACTTAATTGTATGGACTCCTCACTTCATCACACAGAACATTAAAAAAACATGTACTTCAAGGTGAGATTTAATAAGAATAGTAACTGTTACTGCTTTAACAGGGACCGTCTTTTAGTGTGACTGCCATACTTATTTACTATGAATGCATGCGTGTGATGGTGAATAATACAATGATTGCTAATAAAGTTTGGTGCCACAGCCCTGATTTTTACTAAGGTGCTAGCAGCTTTATCCACCATTTCTTTTGTACCATCAGTGCAAATATAAACACAGTAAAAAAGACAAGTAACATCTTATGAAAATAGCTTTTACCTTGCAGATACCTGGAAGGGCCTTGGGGATATCTGGGGTCCACCACACTTTGGGAACTTGTACATTAGCACTTCCACAGCAATTTAATACTGATGATAAGATTTCCTTTTCTTGACTTCATGTCTTTGGAACTGTCTAATAAGTAAACACAAATCCTGAGGCTCAATCTAATTATTTCTTCATTCGTAAATATTAGACAATGATTCTGCAGCTTCAGACCCTGATGCTGAAACCACTGCCAGGACTAACGGGAAAGGAAATCCAGGTGAGCAGTCGCCGAGCCCTGAGCAGCTCATAAACAACGCGGGAGCAGGGGACTCCAGCCGCTCAACCCTTCAGAGGTACTCGAAGCTGATTCATATTTTCACTGTGTTTTGCCTTTATATTAACCTAGAGGCCAATTTCAGGGATCTGTGTTTTTTTGGGTTTTTTTTTGTTTTTTGCCTTAGAAACAGAACTGGCAGGAGTAAAGTCTCACATTTTAATCCCAGCCTTCTACTTTCTCTTTATGTAAATGCCACCTCCTGAATCTTTTTCACTGCATTGTTACTGAGTTAATGGAGAATATATTAATAGGAGAGTTTAATTTTCATTTCTCAGTTCCATTCTTCTCCCTCCTGCATGTAAGTTTGTTATGAGGAATTACTTTACAAATACTATCTCTTGATTCAGAGTGTATGATTTTTCCCCCTTTTCCGACTGCTGCAGCTTATAATACCCGGTCCGGAAGTGACAGTGCCACACGTAGTGCTCTAATACTGGGTAGATGCAAAGGAAAAAGCAGTACTTGGTGTTGATTCTAAAGCTGAACGTGGCTGTTCCTCCTTTTTATTTTATTTTTCTGCTCCTTCTTCTAAGACATGGGCCTCCTTATTCCATGGATTACATGGACTTTAGTCCGTGTAGTACTTTCTCACTAATATTAACTGTTGATTATAAGACAGTACTGATTTTCAGCAGATATCCATCCGTTTGACTGATAAAATAGTTCTAGAGAAATTAGTTCTACCAGAGAAAGAATTGCTATCATCATTTCACCATTATTATTATTCTTTTAGCTTCATATTATTATAGTTAACTTTTGCAAAAGGACTCTAAAATTACATTCAAGAAGAGATAGGCCAACAGGACTTCGACTGAGGATGCAGTTTCTTATCAAACAGATGTTCTTCTCGTTTGGTTCAACAAAATATGCACTATATAGCACAGATATATAGCATAGTGTTTATTGGATTTAAACGCAGAATTTGATTTGCTGTTATGGGAAGGGAGCTAAGGTGCATACTAAGCTGTGATTTAGCATATGTGCCTTGATATTTCCTAAGAAAGTAACCATCTTCTTATTCCAGTAAGGATATTTCACTGCTTGCCATTTTGTTCATAACACTTAGTCTTCTTATTCCTTTGATTCATGTGTTTACCACATTTTCCCTATAATAATAAGACGGTGACCAGTTTTGGTGATTGATTGACTGTAGACTCAGAACTGTTAGTGGTAGTGGTTAGCTTCCTCATTTTAATCCCAGCTCTTCCTCTGTCTCATTCTATGAATGCCACCAAATCTAAAGCCTCATCAACCTCAATGTTGTAACCTACAAAACTGAAGTACAGAGAGTTATGGAAGTATTAAGACTCAATATCATAGCAGATAGGTCACTGACTATGTATATGAAATGTATAAAGCATTATTGTTACTTTAATTACGTATAATATACCTAGAAAGAAATGCCCTTCCTTTTTCCTGTCCTACCAACCATATTCTTTCCTCTTTCGCCCCACTGGATTCACTGTTCCCTTCTTTCTCCCTCTGATGCTGCCCTTGTGGCTAGAGGCAGCATGCACCCTTCAGTCCCTAACCCCTCAGCCATGTAATGCACTGACACGCATTGTTTGAAGGTGAGTGTGGACATGTGGGTCTCCTGTGTGGGGTCCAGTGCAGTAGAAGAGGAAGTCCACAGGAGTCTGCATTCAGAGGCAGAACTGAGACACCACGTCCATGTTCCTTTCCCTTTGAAGCGCCCTTTGAAAAGAGATTGAGCACTCATCTCACTATTCTGAAGAAACATGTTTGACCTTTAAGCCACCAACCTCTGACTAGTTTCTGCTGACCTACTTTTTCACTTGCAGTGTCATCAGTGGTGTTGGGGAACTGGATCTAGACAAAGGGCCAGTGAAGAAAGCAGAGCCCAATACCAAAGACAAACCTTATCCTGACTGCCCCTTCCTGCTGCTAGATGTGCGTGATAGAGATTCTTACCAGCAGTGCCACATTGTTGGAGGTAAGAGAGAGAAGGCTTTAAAGTGCTTCACTCTCAAGAACAGAGAGCCTGCTCTTGAGTCTAGGCAGGCTGGAACCACGGCTCATGGTAGACAGTTAAGCAAACCGTACGTTAGCTGGATCCATTATGGAATCCTACAGGATTGGCTCCACCATAAAATACTCTGAGAGGCTGCTGATTTTCACAGGTGGCGGTCAGAAGGAGGGAAATGAAGCTTCATACTTTGTTCATAGTGCCCTCTTTCTTTGCTTTCACAGAAGTGTTTAGGTTTATGGCTCGTTGGTTTTTTTTTTTTTTTTTTTTTTTTTTTGTCAATACCTTACTCTGTGTCCAAGACTGTAGTGCAGTGGTGCGATCATGGCTCACTGCAGCCTTGCCTTCCTGGGCTCAAGTGATCCTCCTGCCTCAGCCTCTCGAGTACCTGGGACTACGGGCATATGCCACAACACCCGGCTAATGTTTTTGTATTTTTTATAGAGATGAGGCCTCACCATGTTGCCTGGGCTGGCCTCAAACTCCTGGACTCAGGTGGTCCACTCACCTTGGCCTCCCAAAGTGCTGGGATTACAGGTGTGCACCACCGTGCCCAGCAGCTTATGAATTTTGAAGATGTATTTAACTCTTAGATTTTAAACCAGCTGGGAATTGAGGCCAAGTTGTATTAAGAGAACAACAGACTTCCTAAACTTTTTCTTCTCTTTGCAGCTTACAGTTACCCAATTGCAACTCTGTCTAGAACAATGAACCCTTATTCAAATGATATTCTTGAATATGTATCCTTTGTTGCATTTTAAGGAATTGGATGGTATGAGGATTATAAGAATCGAAGTTACCGTGCACCACGCTCCTGGTAAGAATGCTGTGAAGGACCTTTGATGTTATTCGGCTGAGCATATTTTAGAATTTGGATTCCTAGCTATTGCCGAGAATCCTGACTCTTGAGGCGGATGCTTTCAAACTGTCTTGCCCTGGGCCAAAAAACACTAGGTTAAGAGTTAGGATCCCTTGAGAGTTAGTCCTAAGAGAGTTTTTTCCTCCCAGAAAACTTTACATAGCAGAACTTAGGGTTGTTTTCTATTTTAATTTTTTCTTTTAAAATTTTAATTTTTTCATTCATAAAAATTATACAAGCAGAATTTTTTTTTTTTTTTTTGAGACGGAGTCTCACTTTGTCGCCCAGGCTGGAGTGCAGTGGCACGCTCTCGGCTCACTGCAAGCTCTGCCTCCCGTGTTCACGCCATTCTCCTGCCTCAGCCTCCTGAGTAGCTGGGACTACAGGCACCCACCACCATGCCTGGCTAATTTTTTTTTTTTTTTTTTTGTATTTTTAGTAGAGACAGGGTTTCACCATGTTAGCCAGGATGGTCTCGATCTCCTGACCTCGTGATCCACCTGCCTTGGCCTCCCAAAGTGCTGGGATTATAGGCGTGAGCCACCATGCCCGGCCAAAAATAATTTAAATACCAAAACTTATTGAAAGGAAAATTGAAATCTCTTATAATCACACAGTTGAGCAGTGGCTCCTGTTACACTATTAGTATATTTTGTTCCAAACTGTCTTTTGCGTGTTTTTTTTTAACGAAGTTGAAACCTTACTGTATATGTAATTTAGTATCCTGCTTTTTTCAGTTCATATTCCGACGTATTTCCTCATGCTGATGCAAGCCTTCTGTAAACCACATTTTTGATGCTGTGTAATATCTTCAGATTTACTATGATTTACTAAACTATTCCTTGATTTTGGACTTTTTAGATGGCTCCCACATTTTTACTATCATAAATAGGCTTCAGTGGACACATTAGGCATAGAAATTGTTCTATTTATTCATCTGTAAAATGAGGATTGCAATATTTACTTTCCAGGGTCATAAGGATAAGAGAGCTAAAGGATGTAAAGTCCGTAACTAGTGCTGTCTCTTAGACCATGGTAACATCAGTTTGCAGAAAAAATGAATACCAGTTTGTGTGGTTTCCATGACGGGAAACCATCCAGTCCCTGCTGGTGTGATGGTAAGAATGGGCTTGTCCATCATTCCCAGGAACTCAGACGGGTGGACTGACCTTTTATTCCTTGGGGGTTTCTCATAGTCTTGGGACATCAACCCAGTGCCTTGGAACCTTAACTCATCTGACTCTTAGAAAAATGCCCATGGTAAGATCATCATTCTGTATGACGACGATGAAAGGCTGGCCAGTCAGGCAGCCACCACCATGTGCGAGCGTGGATTTGAAAACCTCTTCATGCTTTCTGGAGGTGAGCAAGTGATACTCTGCTTGGGACTTCAAAGGCCAAGCAGTCCCACCTGCATCCCCTTTTCTCCCTTGGTGCTCAGAATTCAGTGTTCAGGAAAGAGAAAAAGCCATGCTGGCTGAAAGGAGTCAGGAGTTATGTGAAACTTCCCTTAGCTTCATCAGCACATGTTTTTAATTCCTGATGTTGCTTCAGGGCTCTGTCAGAAAGCCCTAATGCGGAAGACTTGAGCAAAAGGATTTCTTGTGGAATTCTCAGAATCCCATGTAACAACAAATATTTTCTGGTATAATTTGCTTAATGATGAAATAGTTAAGAAAAATTTCATGTCCTTGTGTTGGCCTCAACTTGATGACCAGAGATTAGAAGACATGCAGGCTTCTTTCCAGGTTTTGGCTTGGCCTTGCCATATTAATGCAGCTTTTTCTGATGCTTTTCCAAACCTAGGTCTAAAAGTCTTAGCTCAGAAATTCCCGGAAGGACTGATTACTGGTTCCCTGCCAGCGTCTTGCCAGCAGGCCCTTCCTCCTGGTTCTGCCCGGAAACGATCCAGCCCCAAAGTGCCACCCCTACCAGCTGAGAATAAATGGAGATTTACCCCAGAAGACTTAAAAAAGATAGAATATTATCTGGAAGAGGAGCAAGGGCCTGCAGATCATCCTAGTAAGATCTTTTGACCTTTAAAGATAATGTTTGGTTTTGCAGCCTTGAATATCACCTCATCATATGAAAACTTTCATCTCTTATATTTAGATTCTTAAAATACTAGGGAGGTATGTTACAGGTGCTGGGGAGGGGAGGCAGTGGAGGTGACCCCAGATAGTGGCAAGAATTATGCATTGAAGAGAGACTTTGTCAAAACGTAGAGACTTTTTTTTCTTTTTTTTTTTTTTGAGACAGAGTCTTGCTCTGTCACCCAGGCTGGAGTGCTGCAACCTCCGTCTCCCTGGTTCAAGCGATTCTCCCACCTCAGCCTCTTGAGTAGGTGGGATTACAGGTGCCTGCCACCACGCCAGGGTAATTTTTTTTTTTGTATTTTTAGTAGAGACAGGGTTTCACCATGTTGGCCAGGCTGGTCTCGAACTCCTGGCCACAAGTGATCCACCTGCCTCAGCCTTCCAAAGTGCTAGGATTACAGGCATGAGCCACTGCGCTCAGGCAAAAATGTAGAGACTTCATCAAAAAGTATATCTCAGGCAAAACTGAGGAGTTAAACATCAGACATTCAGATTCTTTCTTGGAAAGTTTTTGATTCCTTCTGCTGCGTTTGCTTCTCCACTCTGAGAGCCTCCGTGGTTTGTCTTCCTACCTTAGTTTCACCAAACTGCGTTCTCTTTTCTTTCCCCTAATCGCTCCTCAACTGCATCCTCTCTACGAAGGAAGTAGTGGAGGACAGACTAGGTTTGTTGGGGATGATGGAGAGGAAGGGGAAAAAAACCTTTCTGCGTTTCCCTTCATTTCTGTCCCCCTCGCCACCTTCAGGCTGATCTCAAGGATGAGGAGTAGGTCATCATTGGCCTAAAGTAGGTACTGCACAGGACTTCATTAGCTTAAAACTGTACTTGGCAGATTGTCCCTGGAATCATTCTTGCAGCTATCTTCCTTCTTTCTTGCTCCCTTCAGGCCGACTGAACCAAGCTAACTCCTCCGGAAGAGACTCTAAGGTGCCTGGTGCCCGAAGCACTCAGAATCTGCCTGGCGGGGGCCCTGCCAGCCATTCAAACCCCCGCTCCCTCAGCAGTGGCCACCTGCAAGGCAAACCCTGGAAGTAAAGACTTTGTCTCACTTAGGCAAATAAATGTTTTTCCTCTTTTCAGAACCCCTGAGCATTTCCCAAGTTGGGTCATTTCCAGAAACTTCTGCAGAGGAAAAGACCATGACCTACGTATGGGATAGGCCCTCTTCCCTCTCCCTATCTCCAGTTCCTCTCCCCTCCGGAGGCCACCTCGAGAAGAATTTTGACAGGTGACCACAAAAACCAGAGGCGTGACAGGCTCTAGTGTCCTCCCTGTTGTTTACAGCATATTTAAGTCTTGTGAAACTGTATAGGAAAAAAGGATCTAAGTTTTTAGTTTTTTTTGTTTTTTTTTTTTTTTTTAATAAGGTTCAGCTTGTTGGGTATCTCTTCATTGTTTTGTAAATAGTTCAGTCACATCCGCCCATGTGCCCCTCCTGACCACCTTTTCGTTCACTGTTCTTGACTTCATGAAGGCTTCTCTTTGCAGTCTTGATGTGAGAAGCTGTTTCCAGGGGTGCAGATGAGCCTTAGGTTCCAGCCGCCTGCAGGCCCCACCCCAACGGACTCACTCGGCAAGGAGCTCTCTGCCTAGCATACTGCAGGCCCTATTTTGAGTATGGAAGCCAGTGCCTGTGTGCATCGCTCAAATTGAAGATGAGGAGAGTAGCTGTACACTCACTGAATGCTCCCCCTTATTAGATACTTTCCTGGAGCCAGAAAGGTGTGCATGTGGGCGTCTTCACACCGGGGAGGAGGGCCTCTCATAGGAAAGCCCTGGCCACCACACCCTTGAAGCCCACCAAAGCGGCCCTCACTTGTGGTCAGTATATCAGTTTTAATGCCCATTTCCCAGCTTCAGTCCATCCATGTTAGATGGATAGAAATTATGGCCACTTGAAAATACCAGCTTTGGTTGGACAACTGTGGACACACAAGGTGAAGAGAACTCCGAAGTCCTTTCTCAGGGCTGACAGCCTCGTAAGCCCTTGCTTAGAAATACAGTATTAGTCTAATTGAGTAATTAGTGCAATTTCCTGCTTACTTTTCATTCTCATGACTGAACTGTGATTAGGAAGTTGTGATTATAGATTCTGGTTTTGGCCGGAATTTTGAATCAGCATTAATTGAATTGCTAAATGACTGACATTCATTCCATTTAATTGGGGGAACAAAAGGCCTCAGGTAAGGATGAGAAACTCTGAAATCAGATGGAAAAGAGCCGTGTTAATTTTTATGGTCTGTGATCGTAGCTGTGATAAGGGACTGAGGAATAAATTGTGCTCTTTGTCATGGCAACCAGCTTCTGAAAAGCCAGCTGAAAATTGCCTGTCCTGCTGGTAACTGCTACAGGGTAAGATTTGCCTTAACAGTACTATTTTCTCGCCACAAAAAAAAAAAAGAAATGCACCACAGTATTTCTAGCATGGGGGCTGTGTTTGTATGAGAAATAAACGTAATAAATATCTCATAAAGACATATGGAAAAATAACTTTCAGATTCAACCCAGTTCTGTTTTAGAGTGTGTTTATTCTTCTCTACTTGATTTCCAAAGCGCAACATTTTCCGATGCTTTAGAAATCAAACAAACCAGGAACATTGTTCAGATGTCAAGCCGTGCCCAATTTTCCACAAGATTCAAGAATCTTGTATAAAATTCAGCCAACGTACACATAGCTTTAATGAGGAGTCTGTCATGTTTCCCCATAAATTTATTGCCTGAGAACTTAGTTCAGGCTTTGCTAATGCCAAAATGCTCTGGCTTTGTATTTTCTTTACAGCGTAGATAGAAAAATGCACATTTTTCCACATTCAACTTTCCCCTAGCATGGACAAGATTTTCAGCCATTTTTGCCACATATACGTTTTAAGGAAAAAATATTTTTCTCTGTAACAAAGTTCTAGTTATGCCGTTTTAAAGGTGACTTGTCAGGAGTTGAGACTTCCCTGCCGCATTCTGTTTTGAAAGTAAATGGTCTCCCTCCTTGTTCCGATTCTGCATTCCCATCGTCAACTTTGGAGTGTTGGAAACCACTGTATATATGTGGAAAGCCAGGTCAGCCAGACCTATTAGAACTGGTGTGCACTCACCTGAGAGATCTGGCGGGTTGAATATATTTGTGTGTATTTCTCCATAGTGCTTGCTTTACCCTGTTGGTAAGGATTTTAAATAACCATGCTGAAAAGAGCTGTTCTAATTCTGCACTTTGCATGTTAAATGTTAATATCAAACATTCTTTATGTGCTCGAGGTATTGCTTTTTACATTGCTTTACCAGTTTCTTCATTAGATTAATTGACATGTATTATTTAAATGACCAGTGATGCTTTGTGCAATTATGAATGTTGAAGATTAAAGTACATAGTTACTAATTTGTCGTTTGCTATGAATACGCTGAAAACTGCCAACTTCTCTCTTCTTTTCTGTCGAGATGATTTGGGGAGCCACAGGAGACTGGTGTGATTTTTGCTGCATCTCCTAGAAAAGCATTTTTTTTTTTTTCCAAATAAATGAATCAGGAAATCAGTCCAATTAGGGCAGGGGGCCTCAGCTTTCCAGTCAGAAAGCCTGGATTTCTTTTCCTGCTCAGGCTGGGATTGAAGCCACCTTCAACAACTGGATCATGGCTTCCTGCCAGCGTCTCAGGGGTTGACTAGCTGCCCTTGTCTGGGGTTTATGAACCCTGAGACGGAAGGTGCTTCATCCGTGTACAGCTACAGCGCCACCTGAACAACAGTGATTGCCAAAGTTTAAATAATACCTTAAATGCTTTAAAGGGGTTTGTATTTAAGGAAGGGAGAAAAGAAGGAAAGAAGCAAGGAAATAGGAAGAAGGGAGGGCACAGAGAAAAAGAGAGGCAGAAAGTGAGGGAGAAAAGAGAAAGCTACATTACTTATTTGAAAATAAAAGGAACACCCTGGGCTGTAATAATGTCAGGCTCAATCTCTTGAAAAATGTAGAATGATTTAAATGGCCTGCATTCATTTTATCTTTTTTTTTTTTAAAAAAAAACCTTTAGTGGTTAGCCAGGACCAGCACAATCATATTGGGCTTGGTATAAATCCGAATGAAAAGAGCACAAATAACATTCATTAGTTGCTCAGGGATTTTTCCTGTGGTGCTATTTAAATTATACAAAAATTCTTAAGACTTTAGGCTACTCGACCAAGAAAACAGAACAAAACAAAGACCGTGTTTTCTCTAATTCCGTTGTGGAATGTAAGTGAAATCAGAGTCCTAGGCTAGGAAGAAATACATAGGTAATTTTTCTTGTGTGGGTTTTGGTTTCTGTCATGTTGTTTATTGGCTATAGATTCTGTCTTTTATGTTATCTGACTTTTTTAGAGCGAATAATTAGTTTCTGTCCACCTAGATTTAAATCCATGACCACCTTCTTGCTCTACTCTGAAGATAATCATTAAGAACCTTTCTTTCCCCAGTTCCAAAACGTTCTCAGTGTCTTTAATGTGTGTTTATTTTCTTCCCAATTCTTTCAAAGATTTAACTCCCATGATACTTCCTCCCCCCGCCCCAGGAAACACCAGAAACATGTATAATTATAATTCACCAGTTTAATTATGTGAGCATGTTGAGTACTTACATGCAGGTCCATTAAGTTTTCACTAACAAATATTTTTTCATGCAAAAGCAATAAATAACATTGTGCTTCCAAAATGTTCAGAATACATTTGGGTAGTAATACTTTCCTAGACTTACAATAATTATTGAAAGTATTCTTACGACATCTTTAAATGGATACACAGGTCAGTTACAACATACAAAATGTAATGGTGGAAATTTGTCAGTCTTGAATTCAGGCAGAACAGGATTCAGTGCATGATTTTATGTGTTTTCGAAACTGTATCTGTCACATTGTGATCCCCTGATGGCCCCCCTCTCTGTTGCTGATCCTCTTTGTTCTATGCAGAAGCAAATTCTCACCTGTGTAACGTCCTGAGGCACCTGGTAAAATGTGAGGTGAAGAAAGGCCACTTCTCAAATGCTGTGGACGGACGGCTGCATCTTTTAAAAGACGTCAATATGTCTTCCTGTTGCAATTATTTTGACTGTAAGCTCCCAGAGGGTGAAAATCACCAACCCTATGACAGTGGCCCTTAATAAGTGTTCATGAATAAATGAATTGAACCTGTCAAGATTGAAGTCTGGATGTGATGCCCACTGTGGTGGCCACTCAGTGCTAGTCTGTCATTCTGCAGACCCAGAAAGCTCGTTATCTTCTGTCCCCCTTGTGTATCCTGCCTTTGTAGGCGAGGCATTCAAAACCCTGAGGTTTTTAGATCTCCCTCTACAGGAAGTACCTAGAGAGCTGTTGGGGGTGTTATTACCCTGTCTCTGCCAGGCTTAAAGTATCCTCCAGAATTCAGCACGCACAGGTCACACACCACCCCCATCCAAGAGTGGGTTATTTTTCTCTTTTGTTTCAAATCTTGAAGATTTCCAGAAAATAATAATACTAGCCAATGTTTGTGGAGAGCTTACTTTGCTCCTAGATTCTTCATTATATGTTTTGACTCATTTAATTTCCACAACAGTCTGATGAGTCAGGCACCCCCATTTTCAGATGAGGAGACTGAGGTTCGGGTAGAAATTAAGTGATTCAGGTTTGCCTTCAGTCTCTGAGCTAGGAGGTTGAAAAGCCAGGAGCCAGCCTGAGAACTGTGATTCCAGAGGGTGTTCTTTCAGCCACTCCGCTCTGTGCTTCTCACTCTGGGTGGGCACAGCCGTGTTCTCCCTTGGTGATGCCCCTAATTTACTGTGAAAATGTACCTTTCCCTTGGCTGTTGGCTTCCCTTCCCTCCTAGTCACCTGAGATTCTTTTGAAAACTTTCCTCCGCTTGCCTGCACAAAAGGTGATGGAAATTCAGGAACTGAAATATCTGCTCCACGGAGTATGTATTTCCACATTTCCACCGTCTGTGTCTGGTGTCCTGTCTTGAAGACAGGTGCTCCAGGGTTTCCGAGGTTTATTTTGTCTGTTAATGGACACCTTGCGAAGTACCACTTAAGGAATGAGAATTACAAACTTCTAATTATATTGTAGGAGAAAAAACGTAGGCTGTTTTCCTGATAGGCCGAGCCATTCATTCAGTAAACCATATTGATATGATTTGTGCCTGACCTTTTCTTTCCTTTTTTGTGGTGATGTTTCTGATTTCCACTGAAACATAAGTTGCATGAATTGGGGATGGCCGTAGGCTTGAGTTCCCAGGGAAATCAGAGGCAAACCTCCTTGCTCCAGTCCTTGTCAGCAGAGCCCTTATTCTACTGCAGTCTTCTAAAAATGTAGCTGATACCACTACTGTGGTTAAGCAGAAGACTTTCAATTTTCTCCTTTTAGTTTGGCAATAAACATTTGGCAATCCCAGTCTCTGAGGTTGTTGGATGATGCTCAGCGTTAGAGTTGCCAAATTAATGCAGATCCTGAAAGCTTTGGGGAAGAATTCATTACCCTTTGACAGTTCTTTAGATTTGATGATGCATGCTCTGTGCTTTTCTGAGGGCTTCTCCTTGATTTGGCCAATTTGGATGTTACAGTTGGTCATATCAGCTTCATCTGAGTAGCAACTGGGTCTCAGTGTGTTCACAGAATGATGTTGCTGTAGTTCTTAAAGCAAGGGTCCCCGTTCATCTTCAGATCCACCTCGACCCACTCGCCCTTGCAAAACAATTGCCAGAATGATGAATAACCCTGCACTAGCTGAAGGACCAGTGAGGTCATATCTGGATTGTATTCAATGACATTCCCATTTTAACTTTAGGCCAAAGACAGAAAGCGAGCCATGCATATCTGAGTGTTAATTCAAGAGACTGCCCTAAGGATTCTCATGGACCATCAATATTGGGCCCACAGGCCATTAGAGAACAATATGTAATGGTCTAAGTAAAAAGTAAAATGAGTTCATTTGAAAATAATAGACTTTCAAAGGCCCTGGTGAATAGGCATTAGCATAATCAATTCCCAAGACTGCTACAAGAACTGAATGTGAGCAGGAAGGGTTTTGGGGAATTTTCATCAAGCTACAATAAGGTGTAGGATGGGGAATGGCCCCCAACTGCATGAGCTGAGGAATGTCTTCCTCTGGTAGAAACACTGCTGCTTCCAGCTGTACCTTGGAGTGTACATTTTTCTCAAGATAAGACAAACAGCAGCGTTCTGGGCAAGATGATGAAATATGATACCAGAGCAGAAAAAAATGAGTTTAGACAAAGTAAAAGAATCTGAGCAAAAACTAAGATGGCCAGTTAGCTGTTTGATGTTGATAATAAACCGATGTTAGGTAACTTTACACACAGGTTATCTACTGTGTTTGAAATAGCTCCCTTCGCTCCCTGCCCATTATAAAAGCTGATCATAAAAGCTCATTGCGAGAAATGCTGAGAAACATAAAAAGGAAAACGACCACCACCACTACCCAGGTTAGTCATAATTATTATTGGGGGTATCTCCTTCCAGGAAGAGAGAGAGAAGGAGAGAAAGCGTGTGTGTGCGTGTGTGTGTGTGTTTGTCTTTTAAACAAGATGGGATCTGGACTCAATATTTTGTATCCAGCTTCTTTTTTAAAACAACTGTATTGTATAAGTCCATACCATTAAATTCACCCATTTTAAGTGTACAATTCAATGATGTTGAGTAAGTTTACAGAATTGTGCAACCATCACCACAATCGTTTTATTACGTTTCCATCTTATAGCCAGTTTCTATCACTTAGTATGTTGTGAACATTTTTCCATGTCAACACACCCCTTAATGATTTCATGTTGTTCCAGCGTGTGGATGTGTCAGATCAGTATCAAGACTGGTCATTATCTAGGTTCGTTTTATTTTTTACTTTTCCAATCTTGTACATACATATTTTTGAACCCATCCAAATATTTTTGTAAAGTAAATTCTTCCATGTGGGTTTTCTGGGTCAAAGACACAATACATTTACAATTTTGATTTATATTGCCAAATTTGCCCTCCGGGAAGGTGGTGCCAATGTCTGCGCCACCAGCACTGCATGTTAACGCTGGAGTCTTCAGTCTTTTTATTCTCTGCCAATCTGATGAGAGAAAAATATCTTCATTTCTCCTTAACGAACAAGAAATCACTTAGAGGATCAGTATCTTTCATACATGTATTGATTTGTTTGTGTTTCTTAGTGGAATTGCCTATTTTGCCTATTTTTCTTTTGAAATGTTAGTCTTTTTCTTTAACCCCTTTTATGATTTTAACTCCTTAAAGTTATTAATACTTATTTTCATATCAATACTTTTAAGTTGCAGTATTTTCCAAAATTGTCTTTTAGGTTATTAACACATTTTCATATCAATACCTTCATTTTTAAGTTGCAGTCTTTTCCAAAATTCTTTTAGCTTTATGTTTTTACTTGGGAATTTTAAGTGTTTTCACCCATAGATTTGTAAAAATATCTGTCTACAAACAAAATGTAAATCTCTTCCCACACTTGAAAGTACAAAAAAAAAAATCATGTCTCCATTTAACAAGCATTTATTATTTTTTAATATATTTCAGTTTGTTTATTTATTTATTTATTTAGACAGAGTCTCCCTCTGTCACCCAGACTGGAAATGCAATGGAGCAATCTTGGCTCACTGCAACCTCCACCTCCTGGTTTCAAGCAATTCTCATGCCTCAGCCTCCCAAGTAGCTGGGATTATAGGCATGCACTACCACCTGGCTAATTTCTGTATTTTTGGTAGAGACAGGGTTTCGCCATATTGGCCAGGCTAATCTCAAATTTCTGACTTCAAGCGATCCGCCCATCTCGGCCTCCCAAAGTGCTGGGATTACAGGCGTGAGCCACCACACCCAGCCTAAAATTGTTTTTTTATAGAGACTGGGTCTCACTGTGTTGCCCAGGCTGGTCTTGAAATCCTGAGCTCAAGCAATCCTCCCACCTCAGCCTCCCAGAGTATTGATATTACAGGCATGAGCCACTGTACCTGGCCAAGCATTTATTATTATTGATATTAATATCAATATTATTACTATGTGCTGTGCACTTGGCCAAGCAGTGGGGGTTAAATGGTGAACAAAACAAAGCAATCCTTGCCCTTGTGCAATTTACATTCATTCCTTGACTTCAGCTTTCTTAAGACTTACTTGCTCAACTCTGGGAATTCAAAATAACTTGCACAGGGTATTTTCAGCAAGCCTACAACATACAGATCATAACATTTATGAATTCACTAATAAAAGTAGACAGCATTCACTCAACAGGTATCTATTGGGCATCTATGTGTCAGGTACTGTTAATGCTATTGGGGGTTGAATGCCAAACAAGGTGGTTCCTGCTGTCAGGAAGCACAGTTTATTTTAAATTAAGCAATTCTACCATCAAAGTCTAGTGATCCAGTTTTATAAAATGATAAATTGTCATGCTAACTTAACATTTCTTCTCTTATCAGTTTTCATTAAACAAAAGATGATCAGCTTCCTACTCACCCAAACTAAGCAGTTAAAATGGGTTTTGAAAAGAGAGTTATAATCTCTTGATAAACAGATTGAAGGGAAGCATTTTCTAAAAGATAACTTGAAGACGGTGTTGTCAAATCTTTTAGGTCATCTTTCTGTAAAGACTGAAACACCATTTTACCTTGTCTCATAAACTTACATGCTTATAAATTTATGTAAACAATATAATGTAACAATGTAACAAATATATACAAAATGTAACAACACATACATAGAGCCTCATTCTTTTTTTTTTTTTTTTTTTTTAGAGACAGGGTCTCACTTTGTCGTCCAGGTTGGAGTGCAGTGGTGCCA